AGCAGCTGTTTTTGCAGGCGCAACCTTCAGGCTGAAAACAGGTTTGTTCAACTTGTAGTAGCATCAGAGTGGTTACAAGCTGCCTGGCCACATCAAGTGGACAGACCCTCAGACATACACACTCTCCCATCATTCAGTCACCAAGGATTTTCCATCAGTTCTTCACAAACTGTGTGGGATGGGAACTTTTGGGACAAGTGCAATGACATCAAATCTAAATGTATGCAGGACAGCAATGCTGCAATTGCACAGAAACACAAGAAAAGGCAGAAATACCTGGAAGGGGCAATCCTTGCACTTCACTGAGCAAAATCTTAACATCATGACCATCAGAGAGTCAGTGTCTCTCTTGAGGGTGCTTGTATCCCAAGAAACATCCAGATTTGGGAACTTCCATTCACTTCCTGCATGTCAAATGAATTTGTGTTCTGTGAGTCAGAGCCTGGGGCTTCACCAGTCTCTGACTTCACCCCCCCGAAACTGAATTTCCCTTTGCTGCTGAGTCACTCTGCCCACAGACAGGCTGTGCAGATAGACTGTGCACATGCAGGCTGAATGATTGTGTGAGTGTGCTGCACCAGGCTCTAAATTTTCCATACCCTGAGGGCCCAGGAAGGTCACTGCCCTCATTGGCACAATGAGTTTTCACTAGTCATGGTGCTGGCAGAATTCAAGGTGGGTCAGCACTGTGCCCTTGTGGCTAAGAAGGCCAGTGGAATCCTGGGATGCATTACGAAGAGCATTGCCAGCAGGTCAGGGAAGTGATCCTGTTCCTCTGCTCAGCCCTGAGGAGGCACAACTGGAGTGCTGTGTCCAATTCTGGGCTCCCCAGTACAGCCAAGGGCGTGGAAGATGCTAAGGGGACTTGCCAGCAGGTCAGGGAAGTGATCCTGTTCCTCTGCTCAGCCCTGAGGAGGCACAACTGGAGTGCTGTGTCCAATTCTGGGCTCCCCAGTACAGCCAAGGGCGTGGAAGATGCTAAGGGGACTGGATGAGGAAAGGCTGAGGGAGTTGGGGCTGTTCAGCCTCGAGAAGAGACACTGAGAAGGACCTTATTAATGGATTCAAGTCCATGAACAGGAGGTGCCAAGAGGATGATCAGACTCTGCTCAGTGGGGGAAACCAATAAAACAAGAGGGAAACACAGAAACCGATGCCCAGGATGTTCCACCTGAACACAAAGAAGAACTTCTTCGCTGTGCAGTCACTGAGCACTGAACAGATTGCCCAGAGAGGTCATGGATTCTCTCTCACTGGACGTGTTCCAGACCCATCTGGACACAACCCTGAGCCATGTGCTCTGGGCTGGCCCTGCTGGAGTAGGGAGGTGGGACCAGATGTCCCATTGTGGTCCCTTCCAACCTGACTGACTCTGTGGGTAAGATCATGGATTATTTCTCTGAGAGTGTCCTGAGCTGTGTCAGTGACCCCTCTCATTCATTTCACAGGTACAGTAAGCCTGACACACTATCCCTTTGGTGAACAGTATCCGTCTCTGTCACAGCCTTTGTAGGAAAAAAGAGAAGCAGTGGATGAGGTTTGGCCCTTCCCATAATGAAATATTTGACCAAGAGATTTCTTGCAAGGGACTTGAGGCTTCTTTGTTCCAGCTTTGGACAGGTTGGGTCCAATAACTGCACCATGTTCAAAGCCCAGGAAGCACAGACTTGTCACAACTCCAAGAAGCACAGCAGCAAGACATGCCTTGGAGTATCTGGGGTATTTGGGGATGCTGTGGAGTTACTATGGCTATAATCACTGGAAATTCAGCCCATTGAGTATAGATAGTACTAAGAAAACAGACTTAGAAGAGAGGGACAGGAGTACTGGACTTCTAACTGCTTTTGGGATGTCATCTGCTGGGAAACAAGTAGGAGTTAGCATTATCTAAGAGTAATGAATGGCCACTGTGAGCAGCCCTCCACCTCAGCTCTAATCCTGCTCACCTCACAGCAGTGAGCAACTGTGTCCCAAGTCACAGGATCAAATTGCAACAGTTAATTTGTTGTCACTCTATGGCAAATGACACTGGGAGATGGAGCATTAAACTGGCTGCAAATCAGTGCAAGAAAAGGTTGTGGGACAAGCAGAGTTAGCTACCTTGGTCAGGCTCCCACTTGCAGTAACAGCAAAGTACCTCACATTGTGCAGTTACATCTCAAAATCACATTTGATAAACAAAACCAGGATGGCTCATTTTGTCTTGCTGCAGAAGGACTGAGTCTTCCTCTCTCTGCTGCTCTTGATGAGTAGACAATGCTAGTCTGGAAGTGCTTGTCTGACATGGGAAGGCACAAAACTCACTGCTTTAGAAACCTATTTAGGACACCAAGCTCACATGGAAGGATGAAAGGGTGTAGGGGTCCAGCAGAGACCTCGAATTTATTGATCATGTAGGGCATCAGAAACAGCCTGGTCCTTAAATCACTGTGAGACAGTTTGTGTTAAATGCTTTCTTTTTATGAGAGAGAGGACAGAGTTTTGGAGTAGGGTGAGAAAAAAAGCATTGGAAGTGAATGTAGCTATCGAGGAAGATAGTGATTTTTAAGCACAAAGTGCATGGCGTGGCTGGTTAAGGAAACCACACAGCTGAAAATCATGTTGGGGGGTCCAATACAATCCATCTTCATGCCATTGCTTTCATCTGCTCCTAGACCACCCATGGCCCAAGACCTGACTCCCTACTCTCACCCAAGCACTGCAAAAGAGATCCAAAGCTGATCAGAGGCTTACCAGTTACCAGCTCCCCAGATGGGCCAAAGGAGCAGATCATAAGTGTGGATAAGCCTCAGTCCCTTCCTTTGCTGGGCTGTGCTGGAGTCATCAGGGAACTGCCCACAAACTGCTCTTGTGGTGGTGATACCAGCAGGCAACAATGATTTTCCCTTACCACTCACTAAGGCAAAATGCCTTGCAGTGCTTCTCTTCTTGCTTGGGAAACCTGCAGCTAAGAGGCTCCACAGGAGACAGAAGTGTGGCCTAGAGAGGGGAAGAACTCTCACCTGCTTGGCAAAGCTGTATTGCCATGCACAGACCACATTTCCCCATCACTTCTGTGCTGTGGGAAGCCCTGGTGGCATTTCCAAATGACAAGCAGCTCCTCGTGCTTCCACACCGTGGAGCAGTGGGGACAGGAAAAAGGAGGGAGAGCTGCATTATTCCATGCTGATTTAGAGAATCATAGAATCAGCCTGGTTCCAAGAGACCTCAAAGATCATCCAGTCCAACCCTACTGTGGTTACTAGCCCATGGCACTAAGTGCCACATTCAGTCTCACCTTGAAAACCCCCAGGGATGGTGAATCCACCACCTCCTCGGGCAGCCCATTCCAATGCCTGACTACTCTCTCTGTAAAAAATCTCTGCCTAAGAGGTCAGCATAAGTCAGCAGCACTGGTCAGCATGTGCAAAGTAATTTTCTGCTGGGAAATGCTCAGCTGCTTTGCAAGAAACTGTTCTTTTTGCTGATACTTCCATGAAAGTAGTCAAAAGTGTCATATGGTTTTGTGTCACATGGCAGTCCAGTGAGGAGCAGGGAGTTGGACTTGATGATCCCTATGGGTCCCTTCACACTCGAAATATTCTATAGTTCTATAAAAAGTGGGTTTTTTCACTTTCTGATCGAGAAAGATGAGGGATTTTCATGAGCTAAAAATGCCTCATTACATCTTCTCTCTTTTGGACATATCTGTATCAATACACCATTGTGTCTGCATGTTAAACACTAGCTGTTCTCGTTTTGTCTGTATTGCAGCCGAGTGGTTTTACCACATTGAAGTGCCTCACTGTGGCACTATCAGCGGTTGTTTCACACTGGGCCAAACCAGTGATCACTGGACCATGTGACCTGGTGACTGGCACTGATCCCGACCAGGGTCTGCAGTCACTCCACATCACCATGAGGAGCCTTGGTTGCCCGTTTGCCACCTCTGGCCTGCCTTGCTCAGCACACTTGCCCTGGCTCTGCGCCACTGGGCCGGGCTGAGGACCCTACAGGCACCTGAAGTGATACCTGGTTCTTGACTTTATTCTGATCCAAAATAAAAGCATATTACCAGCTGTCATGGTCTCTAAAGCTTCTCATGTGCTTTGTGCCTGAAACGTTTGCAGTGCTTTTCCTTTTGCTCCGGACAAAAGCTAATTCACTGTAGCTTGTGTTTCAGTAACAATAAACTAGCTTTAAAATGCTACCCTGAACATAATCACAGTGACACACAAAACCTAACCAAAATTGCAATTAAAATACAGCCTTAATGAAATTTAAATATATAAATGTTATTGTATACATGAATTTTTACTTACTAAACAAAATAATATTAACACATCATCCTGCGACATAAGCAATGGGATGTGGGGTTTTTATACCTCAAAACCTGTTCTTATTTCAAAATTAAACAAGCCTATGCAGTTAAATGACAAATACACCTAGTTTATGCCTTAAGAAAGTAAATGACATGAAATGTATCAATATACTGAGCACTGTAGCTTATATAATTCTTTTTGAACAGCAAAAGCCATATAGATAGTTTGGCTGATAAGTTAAGACCTGTAGAAATGTGTTGATCCACTGGGTGTCTGATGAAATTTTGCTCTCTGAGTTCAGGGAAAGGTTGCATTGACTTCAGCAGAGAAAAGAGGGGTTTCCTGTCAGAGAGCTTCCTTGCTGCTACCCAAATGCCACAGCAGTTCTTGTGAGCCCTCACTGTTATCCCACAGTGCATCCTGCCAGGCCCACAGGTACCCAGTTCAGTCTGCTGCCCTCCTGACATCTGTGTGAGTGCTGGCAAACCAGGTGTGCTGGCTTGTGTGCAAAGAACAAGGAAATTAACCGTTGTTAAAAACAACCGACCAAACCCCATGCGTCTCACTGCGGCCAGAGCAGGACTGTGCACAGATTTTCTCTCCCAGCACACCCAATGAGATGATGGTCTGTCAGGCACCAGAGGGCACAGGTAGCACCATGGGTTATGTGCCATCTGTGGAATATGCTGCGGCCTCAGGTCAGAGCTGGGCTATGCGGTGCATGGTCAGGCTGTAATTCAGCCAGTCTTCCAGCGGCTAGGGGAGAGGGAGAAACTGTGGCACGTAAAGAGTCATAGGCTGAAGTACAATATGGAAGAGACCTGTGGAATTTGGTGGTTCTTATCAGTTGTGTATGTATCAAGTACTGCAAGCTGAGGCCTCACCAGTGGTCTGAAATATGCTAAGGCAGGAAATAAATGCAGTAAGAACTATTTGCACTCCCTTCCCACAAAAGGAATGAACCACACTGAAGGTTTATTGCTAAAGGCAAAAGCAAACAGAGGTTCTGATGTGTTAATGTTTCTTTCTACTTTTCAGCTTCTGCTTGAAGATAGCAACATCATAATAGCTCTTAAATTTCACCAGGAAAATGGGTATTGGAATGATAATGGTTAACATGCCAAACACTGCAGCTAAGGCTGCTGTCACTTGGCCAGCTGTGGTGAGAGGAATAATATCTCCATAGCCCACTGTAGTGAGTGTGATTAAAGCCCACCAGAAGCAAACAAGGAATTCAGTGAAGTGCAGCTCCCCTGTGTAGGACGGATGGCTACCCAGCAACTCCCCATAGAAAAAGAGAGAGCCAAAGAAGAGGGTCTCAAAGGCCAAAATCATCAGCAGGATGCAAATCTCTCTGAGGATAGACTTCAAGGTGTAGCACAGAACCCTGAGGATTAGCGGAGTTTCTATCAGTTTGGATATCTTCAGGAGTTTGAGGAGAGAGAAAATGCACACTAAGCCAAACCAAAGCCCCAGGCTTGGCATTCTGTGAATCTGCTCAGCCACAAAGAGTTCAATATATACTGGGAAGAGGGAGAGGAAGTCAACCACGTTCAAGGCATTTTGGAAGAAAAACTTCTTGTTTGGGCAGAAACAAAGTCGCACAGAGAACTCAAAAGTAAACCAGAGGACACAAAATAGCTCCAGATGAAGCAAGTAGGCAGCCTAGTGATAATAGGGTTCCTGGGCATTCTGGAAGACCTCAGAATAACCAACATGAGTGAAGTTAGCAGAAAAGAACTCAAATTGTGCTTTGCTCTCCTCACAGAATATGATGACAATTCCAACGATGAACAGTAGAGAAACAAAAGCCAAGCACTGCAGAGGGGAAGAAGGCACACAGGCAATTAAATCAGCAAGCAAGTATCACATAACCTCATGGCCCCACATAACCCCAGGATCACCTCCACAGGCACAGTACAATCCCAGACTAATCTTTCTCAAATCCAAACAATTTGGCTCCCAAGGAGTCAGATTTGAAAAATAATAGAGGAGATCAGAGTCAAATTAAAAAATATCCAAACCCCTACACTGGCATTCGTAAGGAAAGGGGAACATCTGACAGCTGGAGTGGTGCAGACAGGCCCACACTGAGAGCCTCTGTGGCACTGAATGCTGGCTCCAGAAACACCAGCAGCACAGAGAACATCCTCTGCAGTCTGACTTGCATTTGCTGTTTTGCATGCCTGACATTTTCAAGAGTCATGGCTCGTGCATTTTGTATAGAGAACAGGAACAAGAGGGTGAGAGAAGGAGGTGTCTGTCAATGAGAAGCCAGAATTGATTTCCTGCTAGGACTCAAAGCTATGAAACCTATCAAAGCTACGAAACCATTACCATTTTTCATGGACTCATTCCAGTAACCCCAAAGGACATGTGCCCATCTCCACATAGAGTATTACCTTAGCACTGAAAGAGGAAAAGGGGTTTTCAAGTAGTGACCAAATCTTTGGCTGCCATCTGGTTTTCCAGGTGAAATCCCTTCTTTCTGTCTGGACTATGAGGCACTGGTCATCTGTCTGTTCATTTTCATCCCAAATGCTGAATTCGTCTGGCTGCACCTCTCTGTTATTCAGCTTCAACCAGCAGCAGGATGCTAGCTGGGACTCATTTATTTCCCAGAAAATCAGCTCTTCTTCTAAGACTGACCTGCAGGTATCAATGGGGCAGTGGAAATGTTTGGTCCTATAATAGTTCAACACATAGCTGAATATCTCAGGACTCCTATCAAAAAAGAACTCTTTGGTGGTGGGATCATAGTCATAGGTGCTTAGAGCATGGGGCTCTGTAAGGCTGCACAGCTTGGTCCCTGGTAAGCTCCAGAGGGTGCTGCTGTATGTCTCATATCTGACTCCTCCGACATTCAGGACGATTCTTTCCTTGGAGTCTTCCATCTGTAAGGGAGGAGGGAGACGAAAATCCTCATAGGCTCTTGTTTATTTTCAGTCAAAAAGAGGAGAACACAAAAGAAATAAAGTAAAGCAAGTTTTGAAGCAGTAAGGTTCTCCAGGATACCCCACTGCAGTGCTTTTAAAGCACATTTTGTACTTGAAACCTGCGTTTCCTACAGGGAGGAAGGCACTTCTGCCCTTCCCCATCAAGGTCAGTGCCTGTTCCTACACTTCATTCCATGGCCACATTGCCTGAGCACTTTTCAGAATATGCATGAAACAAAATGACAGACATCTGCTTTGGATTGCTCTCCCTCTCAGCTTCTCCTCATGGGGACAGAGCACACAGTCCAAAGTCTGCTTCACCACATTTGTTCATACACTGTAGGTAATCATCACAATCAACTCATGTGAGGTAAAATTCTCGTGCCAAATGCATTCCTTCCACTATCCCTCTCTGTGTCTAGTTCTTCCATCTTCACACCCAATTTCTTGCAGTGACCTCCATGTGCCAAAGACAACAACAGCCTATTTGCCAATCAACTCTTAAAACATAACCTCCTGTGATGAGCCTGGCACAACAAGTTTCACAACAGACCCTGATGCCTAGTGGGAACATTTAGATTATCTGAATTATGCTTTTTCCTTCAGTCTTCCCTGTACAGAGTGCCACTGAGGCAAATCACCTTTCCTCCTGTAGGAAGTTGCTCTTTACCTGGAAGCTACATGCCAGATTGCTGGAGCAGGCAGAAATGCAGAATAACATACCAACTTCTCCTTCAGGGCTGGCTGACATCTCAGAATAGCCCTAGAACCTGCTGCCAAGGCCTCTGGCATTGGAAAGCATGTTCAGTTTCTTATTTCCTGCAACACATCCCCTCTTTTGCTCTTCAAAATTCAACATGCCTGGGAGAAACTTGAGCTCTGCTTTATGAACATCATTCTAAGGAGGGAAAACCAAGGATCTCTAGCCTCAGGAGCACACAGGAGAGGTGCAGAATAGTGACAGGATGTTCTTGAGAAAGTGATTAGGGCTGTCTTTCACCCACACATATTCACTTCTGACTTTCTGTACCCCTCTGTTTCTCCTCCTCCATTTCCACATATTCTCATCCAACCTTCTCTCACACCTTGCACAACTGAAATTCCAATTGTCCCTCCTCTCTTTCTTTGCAGAAAGTGCTGATCAAGGAAGTCACAGGTCACTTCTGCAAGAAACCTTGTAAAGAACTATGCATAGCACTTCATTCAGCTTTATCAGCACAGGCTGGAAGCTGCAGCTTGGTCCTACACTCATGGCAGAACAGAACTGCCACCCATCTGCTGTCCGTCCCAATCCCAATATGTGAGTCTTGATGCAACTTCCCCCTTAAACTTAAACTGTGACAAGAGCAGGATCAAGCATAAGGTGCAGGTGTTGCTTAGTACTTGCTGCACAGGGATCCACACAGCATGATTCTAAGCAGGGCAAAGTAGTCCATCAGTTGGCAAATCTGGAGTTCCATTATTGGATTCTGCTGTTGAGCTCTAAAGAGCACAGTGATTTTTGAGATCTCAGCTATGCTCGCCTTTATCTGCTTAGAATGCCAGATATCTCTTGCTGAAACATAACAGTCCCCACATGAGAGATGAGCTGAGAAGTCCCATTTCATATTCTTACCTTGGTGATATTGCAGCAGCTCTGCAGCCAGGAGAAAGGAGAAGAGACCAGGAAGAACAGAGACAAACCCAGTGAAAACAGGATGTTCAATGGCTGGTCTCCAAAGCTTGAGTCTCACAGATGCCTGAAAACAAAATCAGCCAATAGCACTGAAAAGCTGCAGAGGCCTCTCTCCCTCATTCCCTGCCCTATCAGCACTCACTGCCCCCACTCTGGGGAACAACACCCAGACAAGAAGACAACAACTGCCAGGCCAGATACACTCTGACGGCTCTGCCACCCGCTGCTCTACTAACAAACCCAAAGAGCCATGGTGTTTGGTAACCACACGGAACTCCAATGTCTTAGGTCCAATTAAAGATCAAACTCTCAAGCCACAGAAAGGCAGACAGAGCATTGTCCTTTCTTGGCTGTCGCTTCTTCGAGTTAAATATACAGAAAACAACTGGAGCTAATTAGAAAAATAACAAACAAACTCACCCAACTTTCCATATTTTTGTGACACTCCTCTTTTTTTAGACTGAAAGGCTTTTTCCTCATTTCTGGATGACCCAAAGCTAAATCTTTTCTACCCACTGATATTAAAAGCATTTTTTGGCGTTGATTTCTCCAGGAATAAGGTTGGAACATTGTTGTTATCCCAGTCAAGAAATGAGTGCTGTGATTTCCTTTCAGCTGAGGCTCCAAGGCCATTTCTAGATATCACTTCTGCTTGCTTCAGACTCTCCGGGAAGCAAGCAGAAAAAGGATGTACTGTATTCCCAGCAAGATCATTCAGGAAGGTTCTGGGGGCTTCCTTTTCAGTTATACGGATGAAATGCGCACGTCTCTTCACAGAGGAAGTACCATCACAGTTCACCTGCAGGATTTTCCACTTTAATTCATTCCTCATGTCACCTTGACAATCTTGTTTATTTTTAAAAAAAAAGGTTTTCCATTTAGGCCTTTTACCTAGGTCTGGTTCTTTGCTCCTCACTGGCACTTCAACTGCAGGTGCATATAGCCTCACTCACCCTAACAATCCAGATTCCCAAAGTACTACAGGGACACCACAGACAATCCTGGCCTCTTCTCTTAGCCAACACCACAGCAAGGCTGCAGAAATAAGAACGGCAAACTGCTGCCAGCCTTGTGTGGGATATTCTGGGTGACAAGCCATCTGTGCCCAATACCTCTCAATCCTGCACTGAACAACCTCATAGCCAAACAGCACTAGCAGAGACACAAGTGTAATTCCCCTTGGATCCAGACTCTGAACGAATGTGGAATCTATGCTGCTTCAGTCCTTGCTCTCTTCACATTATTCTCCCTTTCCACAGAGAGTAAGAACGAGAAACACTCTGTTTCTGATATGTCTCTAAGGTTTGGGAAGTAAGTAATCCGCTTCAGCTTGATGTATACTATCTGCTCCACAGCACTGCACTAATCACCTCTGACAACCTTTGCACTGCAGTTGATTTCTAAAACCCAGAAATAATCTGGCAAGCAAAATGACACATGGTGTTCCTATGCTCTGAATGAGACCCTTTGATTGCTGTAAACAGCTTGTCCTTTCAGGACATTTTTTAAGCAGATGAAAAGTGCAACTCCATTCCCAGAGAACAGGGCCCTATTCCAAGTGTTCTCCCTGCCTCCTATCTTCTGAGAATTCATTTTCACTGCACGAGGCACCATGGAGGTTTGGCAACAAATGTCAGATGTGTTTCCTCAGAGCTAATACTTCGGGTGATGAACTCTTGCTTCTATTTGGCCTACGCTTATTGCCACCAAAGAACAAGGCAGGCCTTTCAAGGGCAGGTGACAGGCAGGAATGAGCTGTGTTTTTCAAAGATGGTACTTTAACAGAACTCATTCAGCCTTTCTTTCCCATACTCTGTGGTATTTAATAAAATAGGTATGTTGCAAGGGGCAGAAGTTCTATATTTTTTCCCTGTTCACTCATTCAAATGGTTTCAACTATGCCTTCAGGAATACTTGTGTTAGTCTGAATTGGGGACTGGATAGGGTGGTGTCTTCATTAACTTCATTTGTGTTAAAACGTAAGAGTTTTAGCTTTCCAGTATAAGCATTTCTTCAGAGAATGTTCTTTAAATGCTTGTGCAGAGCCCCTTAGTGACACCATGGGTAGGGCAGAGTCCCTTGGTGACACCATGGGGCAGCAAAAGATCTTTGGGACATGGTGTGCCAGCAGAATGCCTTTGTGGCCCCCAGGAGTCCTCAGCAGCCCAAGGGAACTGCTGGAGGCCCAGAGCTGCTTTGGGCTGTGACATTCCATCTTCCCCTGCTGAGCCCTTGGGGATTCCTACGTGTGACATCCCCAGTGTGTTTGCAGTTGCTGTGGGACCTGTCACTGGTGGTTGATTTTCACTGTTTGTCCAAGAAACGTCTCTGGCACAGAGGATTTGGGTGAATGAGCTGAACCTCCATGGCACAAGGGCAGTGCCCACCCGTGCCCTGTGCTGGGCACTGGGGAGGTCCAGCAGCAATGTTGGGGTCAGTGCTGCTCAGGGGCCGGAGGGAAGGTTGTGTGGCTCAGCACAGCCAGGTGGGACAGGGCTGGGGGCACGGGGAGAGTTCTGCCTAGGTGAGGTAGCAGCTGCTCCCACACAGCCCCTGGAGCCTGACAAGGTCCCACCTGTCTGCACTGGGATTGGCTTGGTGACCATCAGCTCTGGGGTGACGCTACATGGTGTCAGTGCCCACAGGGCTCTGATCTGAGCCCTCACACAGTGTCGGTGCCCACAGGGCTCTGAGTGTCCCTCACATGGTGTCGGTGCCCACAGGGCTCTGATCTGAGCCCTCACACGGTGTTGGTGCCCACAGGGCTCTGTGTGTCCCTCACACGGTGTCGGTGCCCACCGGGCTCTG